GAGTCCAGCGCAGGGCAGTGAAAATGGTTGTGGGGCTGGGGACAGGACTGGTGAGGAGAGGCTGAGGGAACTGGGCTGATTGAGTCTGCAGAAGAGAAGACCAAGGGGGATTGAATAGCAGCCTTCACCTCCCTGCAGGGAGTTGCAAAGAGGATGGAGCTGGGCTGGTCTCAGCGGGGGCAGACGACAGGACAAGGAGCAATGGGCTCAAGCTGCAGCAAGGGAAGTTGAGGTTGGATATTAGGAAAAACTTTCTCCCGAGGAGGGTAGTAAAGCACTGGAACAGGTTACTCAGAGGTGGTGCAGTCTCCATCTTTGGAGATGTTGAAGACCCAGGTAGACAAATCCCTGGCTGGGATGATGGAGTTGGGGCTGGTCCTGCTTGGAGCAGGGGTTGGGCTAGACGTGACCTCCCGAGGTCCCTTCAACCCTCATTTTCTATGACTCTATGCTGCAAGCTTATAAAATGTTACAGCAACTGACCCAAATCTTGCGCTATTCCACTCAATGTGAAGGCCGTCTCGTTCCCTCTCCCAGGTTTCCTTGCATACGCGGTGATCCTATTGGCAGTCTGCTTGGTGCTGATCTTCTTCCTGGCCCCACACTACGGGCAGACCAACATCCTCGTCTACCTCACCATCTGCTCTGTGATCGGGGCCTTCTCCGTGTCCTCGGTCAAAGGACTTGGCATTGCCATCAAAGGCTTCTTCGCTGGCTGGCCCGTGCTGCAGCACCCGCTGACCTGGATCCTGGTTGTCACGTTGGTGGCGTCCATCACCACACAGATCAACTACCTCAATAAGTCCTTGGACATTTTCAACACCTCCTTGGTGTTCCCCATCTACTACGTGCTGTTCACCACCATCGTCATCACCACGTCCATCATTCTCTTTAAAGAGTGGGTCACCATGTCGGTCGTGGACATTATCGGGACAGTCAGTGGCTTCCTCACTATTATTCTGGGGGTGTTTTTGCTCCATGCCTTCAAGGACATGGACATCACTTTAGGGAACCTGCCACAAATGCTGCAAAACGCCGACGATGAACCTGCCCCCAAGGACGACAGGAACATCCTGGTTGAAGTGGACAATTCCAGCATGATCCCTGAGGATAAACCCAAAGTATTCATGATCTACAGCTAAAGCATCACTAGGAACATCCCAGGGGAAAGGTTGATGCTCGCAAACTGGCTAGAACAAGAGCATCCAAATGGGACCAAGCTATTTTAAAGACAGGAAAACAAATAGAGGCCTGATCCAAAGCCCATTGAGATCAATGGAGTCTTTCCATGGACTTTGAATCAGGATATGATCTAATGATGTATGAGCAAGGAGTATATTGGTCTTCACACAGATGTCCGATGGAAGTGCAAGTTCCTTGAAAACAGAAAAAAATCACCTGCTCTGGGATCCTTTCTGCTCCCTGCTCCTTTATCAGGACTGGTTTCCAGGGGATGTTCTGTACTTTTCTTCCTGAGCAAAACCCCAGTGGATGTTGCACTTACTTCAAAGTGACCCCATCGATGGTCCGATCGAGGTCCCTTTACTGAACACTTCCCAAAGGTCTTAGTCCCCCCCTTGCAGAGCACATCACCCCAGCATGATCAAACAGAGCTGGGAGATGCAGAAGGCACCTCCTCTCTTTGCAAAGCCCCAGACTCAAGAGCAATACTAAGCCCTTACATCAAACAGCTGCTGTCCGCAGTCTGTGGGGAAACGTGACTGTCAACTTGACCTGAAAGCTAAATCTTCTGGCAGGCCAAGCAAGGGAGCGGGGAAACCAGCCCCCTCCAGCTCCTCCTTTTGCAAGTCAGTTGCCCACCCATCCAGAGCATGCACACATAGCGTTAAGCCAGCAAAAACCAGTTGTTTCCATCATGCCCCATTGAAGAGTGTTCAAATACGTGTTGCACCTAGGACTGTTATGCAAGTCTACTTGAGCATCCCTGCAGGGCCCATCCAAATCATCTCAGGCAGCATCCCGGACTGCTACCGAGAAGCCTGCTTCACCCACTCGGCCCTGCCCGGCACATGCCAAATCCGGGCAGTGCAGACAGCTCGGCGTCCCTGAGGCTGCCCCAGCACCGCTCTCCGGCTCTGTCTCAGTTGTGCTTCCCTGCACACACTCGGGGCGCTCTCAGGTGACCAGGCTGCCTCCTCTCCAGCATTTGACCCAGGCTGAGCAGGAGAAGGGGGCAGCAGTCTGCAGCATGGCACGGAGGTGGTGTGGACCAGTCCATGCAGGAGTCTGGTACCAGCTTTCAAGAGGCACTTGAACCCAAGCTCTGAATCCAACTATCCTTCAAGAGGAAGCACAGAGCAGATCTTTGAATGGTGCTCCAGGTCGTGGGACAAAGCAGCATCTCCTATCCCTAAATCCCAGGAGAGCTGAGTCTCAGCTGAGCAGCTCACACCAATCCCTGTGCAAAATGTGCCTCGCTCAGGGAGCCGTGCTGGTTCCAGGCTGGTACAAGCTGTCACGGTGGACTGTATACAGGACAGCCCAGCATACCTGGGTACATGAGCAGCCAGTGCCACTGCTAGATAAAACTCAGTATTTCAGGTGCTTAAATGCTGCAGCATATTCCTCTCATTCCTGTACTGCAAATGATCTCCGATTCTCCAAGAGATGCCTGGTACCTCTGGAAAAGAGAGAGAGCATCCATGCTATAGCTTCTGGGTTTCACATGCTCTGCCCTTGGGATTTGGGCCTGTTTGGAAAAGCGGCACCGCTCTCCAACTCCTCCGGGATCCCGGCGGGCTGCGACCGGAAGCAGAGCCAGCTCCTGAGCGCTGGGCCGCGTTGGCCCAGAGCAATTTCGGCATTGAGCTGTCGTGTTATTTGATGACACTTCTCCGTGCTCTGCAAGCGTGCGAGCTGGGGCAAACTTTATCGTGGAGGTGAAAGAAGTCACTTCGAGCTTTCTGGCCAGCTTCTGCCAGTCTCTGCTGACTACTCATTTACTTTGCGGGGTGTCCCCTCCTGGAGTGACGGTCTACTCGGCTCGAGTTGCAGGACCTGAGCTTGGGTGGTGGCATTTTCCACAGGGCATGAAGGAGAAAGTATTCCTAATGCCTTTGTGTCTGTGAGCGGATGGAGCATCAGGCCCCTTTGCCCACAGCGATTGCTGCGGTCTCCTCCAGACTGGGCCCAGGTCAGTGAAAGCCGCGTTCGGCTGGAAGACCAAGGCAGTGCAATGCTGAAGGGGTTGTTTGATTGCAAAAGTTAGGGGAGCAGGAGGCTTGGAGACCCCAGGCCTCACATCCCATCGGTACAGCTTGGGGGGCTATCCAGAGAGAAACCTGCTAGCTGTTAGAGGCAACATGGGAATGAGCGGGTGAGGCTAGGTCTGGCCGTATTTATTTTGCTGTTAAAACTCTGCTCCCTCGCATCCTCCTTGCACGGTTTCTCTGGCTGTGCTTCGCCCTCCCCTTTCCATCCCTTTTTTCCCCTTGCATTTTCACTCTGTCCAGCTGCTGTTGCACCATCTATCAGTGCAAACCCTGTGGTGTCCAGGCTCACCACCACCCCTGGAGCCCCAATGTGGGGGGAAAAGGGGGCGAAGCCAAGCAATGTGCATTCATTCACATCCAGCTGCTCCTGAATCTTGGCCCTTTGCTGCTGGCAGCCTCTGTATTAAGTTAGCAGGCCCTGCCACAGGGCCTATTAGTGCTGAAAAACCCCGTTGCACCTTTGGATGTGGTGCAACTATATGTCTGGTCCCAGGGGAGAGTTAAGCCCCTGTAATCACTGGTGCTCAAGGGCTGAGATCCCAGGGATAAAACCACAGCTGGCATAAACTTTCCTCACTCCATTAACTCAATCAACCAGCTCTTAGGTTTCTGCTGCCTATTTCTTCAGAGGCTGAAGATAATCATTGTCTTTTGAGAGGACGGACACCGGCATCCTTTTATGCCTAGAGGGGTGAGCTACGAAGCTCAAACCATAAGTGCTGATCTTGGCACCAGAAAGTGGGGTGTAGGGCAGCCGTGGCAGGGACAGAAATCATAGTCACAGAGCATGGGCTGGAAGGGAGCTCCAGAGGTCCCATCTAGCCCAGCCCCTGCCTGAGAAAGGATCAGCTCCGTCCAAACCAGCCCAGGCAAATCTATCAGCTAAACTCTTTGTAAAAGGACCATCAATCCTGACACAAGACATCACACTTGACCCTGCTCCAGGGGCTCTTCCAAACAGGATAAGGGGAAAGCAGAAGCAGCAATGTGCTGAACTGGGATTAGCTGCAAAAGCAGGCATTTCCCCATGTGCCCCCACGGTGCTGCCCGGCCCGTGTCATCTCCTCTGGGGGCTTCAGCACCAAGCGATTCCATCCAGCCCCATCTACAAGACTTGGGGGACCTCCGTCCTCACGAAGCACCTTACCCTCAAATCAAAGAAGCCAAAGGTATATCCGCTGTGCTGTCTGACCAGGCACGAGCCCCAGAGCAGTTGCATTTCAGCCCTGTTTGCTTGTATTTGGAGAGGGGAAATAAAGGCTTTTTGTACCGACACTTGCAGGTGGGTGTGAAAGCTTTCTGCGTGCTTCCCCTGCCAGGAAGGTAGTGCCCAGATGCTCTCAGAGCGTGCAGGCTCCCGGTATCCTCAGCATTGCGAAGAATAGAGCATGCTGTGGACAGGAGAGCAGACAAGGTTCATTGGGTAGATGTGATATCTTTTATTAGACCAATTAAATAGTTGGAAAAAAGTTTTTCGCAAGTTTTAGGGCACAAGCACCCTTTGTGGAGAGGAGAGTAGCCCGGCAGCGCCCTCACCTGGCAATGGGGTACGGTCCCTGCTGCCCCAGCTCTCCCATACCAATGCAGGCAGTAGCTGATGTACTGCTCCTTGCATAATATACTAGAGGTAATTTGCAATAGCTTAGGGTCTTTCTCCTGCCTAGACCACGTCCTTCTGTTTGGAAAAGCCCCTTTTTCCTGCACTCCTGTCATTTCAGGACACGGCACTGTTTAAAAGCATATCTGTTGTCAGCTTGACCCCTCAGTCTCGGGTGCGGACTCAGTTAATCAAAGACCTTGCTCCCCATTTTGATGCCAATCGACAATAAATTTATTAAATCTAAACCAGGCAAAAGGCACAAGGAATTGCATATTCAAGTATTTGCATAGATGCACCAAGATCATTACTGTAAACCATTAATACAGGGACAGAAGAGGAAGTGACACGTATTCGAGTATGTTCTCCCAAGAAATAATAACAATAAGTACCTAAAATCACCTTCTATCCCCCCCCAGCCCCATCCACTCGCCCCACACATACACGTGTACAATGCAAAAGGATTTGCCGAGTGTTACCTTCGGGAGGAGCCGTAGCTTTCAGGAACGACTGGTTTTGGTTGTATTCTGAGCTTTGGGTTTCCTGCGGGATCCGTAGAGGGCTTGAGTCCATGCCTCAACAGTCAAAGGAAAAACTCCTGATTAATTTTGGGGGGCATTGGATCAGAACCAGGGGCTGTAAACTTAGGTGGGTCACTGGCTTCAGGGATTAATAAGTCATAAGTGTGCGTGTGTGTGTGTGTGTGTGTGTGTGTGAGAGTGATCAGAATAAGATGTCAAGCTGTATGCAAAAGGCCTCATGCTGATTGGGACTAAGACCCAAGTCAAGTAGTGAGAAGCTAGTAAAAGTGGCTGCTACGGTCATGGAAAGGAGCCCCTGAGGAACAGCTCCCGGCTGGTGCAATTCCCTTCTGAGCAGTCTTCCATCGCTGCCTTTGGCAAGGAAAATATACAAATAAAGTGCCTGCAAAAACCCCCATCCATCGAGGTGCGTGTCGCTGCGCACCCAAGCACAGAGAGCGGCAGGCAGTAACGAGCACAGAGCGACGGGCAGGCGAGGAGAGAGATTAGCAAGTCGTTCTCTTGCACTTCGCCTCTGTGCCTTTCTCTGTCGGGGGGAGGTAATTTGACCGGCTCACCGTGTTTCAGAGCTAGGGAATCGGGGGAAATCTCCAAAGCAGCCACTGCAGTGGGCAACAACGGAGAGAAAGAGGAACAAATATACCCCTGTCTACTCACAGACTCTTGAAGAAGAGGTACCAATGCTGCAAACAGCCAAGTCTGATGTGAACGGTCCGGGGCATTTTTGGACAGGGAGCACTGATGGAAACGCGGTCCCCAAAACAGGGTGAGGGGAGGGAGGATGGGAAAGGGAAGGGTCTGGTTTTGGTTTCTGCAATAGCAGCAGCACGTAACAGGTGTCTCACACCGCACAGCCTTGACTATCTTGTGTGTAAAGCTCTGTCCGGTTTCTGAACGGATTCCTCCAGAATTGGAAAAGAGGCAAAACTGTTGGGGGAACCATATAGCTCGAAGTCTAAAATCCTGAGATAAAACATGTGGGAACCCAAACCAGTTAAAAAAACATCCAATTCACAAGGTCAAGTCCGTAGGATTCGAACCATCAGCTGCTTAAAGTGCACATGGAGGACTGCCTTCACCACGTCCAGCGAGAAGAAAGCTGGAATCAGTCAGCCGTCCAAGGAAAGCACCATATGGGATATTAAAACTGCCGCTTTTCTCCCAACTCGGCAGCTTTCAAGTGAAGTTGCTTCTTAGTACCTGGTGTTGAACTGTACTGCCCAGCACAGAAGCCTACACATGCAAAGTCTACTGGTCTGATGAGAAATGCATTCCCAGTGCACAGTGGAGAGGAGGTGACCAGCACCTGGCCTCCACGGGAATTTCTTCTTTCACCCTGCATCTTGTTGAGAGTTTAATCGGTAGTACCTTGTCGGCGTCCGAACACTGCGGATGCTGGAAAAGCCACAAGCCCGGGCCCCGAACATGAACGGGAGCAGAAAAATCGAACTGAACAGGTCATGCAAACGAATGGAAGGAGAGGAGAGAAAGGTCGCAGGGGTCTGGCTAAGGAGGTGCTGGTTGCAGAGAGTCTGCCGGTCCTTTTGGGCCAGCTCAGATCCACAGCCAAGCCCAGGTGTATTTTCAGCGGTTGAAACCTCTGGATGCCTGACATAAGAAGCCCTTTCTCTCCCCATCCTGCACTGCATATTGCACAACCGTATAGAGCATTGCCATTTTAAAAGTCACTCCTGTGCTGAAGAAAAGCTGACGGCACAGGGGCCACACTCAGCGTCGGTATATACACTGATGCAAGTCCCTGGAGACTTAACTGGAGTTGCATCTACCTAGACCAGGGAGGGACCAGTCACACCAGGCCTGGATTTGGTGTAGAGTCAGGCCAGAAACACGTCGGGCTGGGGAAGAGGAGACAAGGAACAGCACGCAACCTGCATGTCTGCGTCCTGGCAGCGAAGCCGTCCGACGCCCCGTGAGATCCGGAAAGAGCCTGCGTGCGGCGGGATGATCCGTGCCTCGAGCCTCGCCGTCACATCTGCAAGTCGTGCGCTGCTCCGGCCGCCCGCGCTGCTGGGCTCTGGGTGGGGGGAGAACGGGGACAATGAAGAGACGCAGCGGTGGAAAAGCAAAGGCTCCTTCCCAAGCAGATCCTATCACAGGGCAGGTGAAGCTGTCTCTGTCTGGACTAGCTGGCAGAAATGCTTTCATCGAAAAACAAGGCATCATCATGAATCATGAGAGATCAGACCGACGTCCTGCAAGAATCCTCACAACATCCTCAGGAGGGGTTTTCCCAGCCCAAGCAAGGAGAGTTTGGGAGCCTCCGTCTTGTGTAAAGGGTTTAGAAAGGGTTAAAGACTGGCTATCCCATAATGGCACAACCTTACCACGATGCTATCGACACTTAGAAAAGGCAAATAAAAATGAGAAGATGCTAACTGCAGATGTTATAATGGGATGACCACCATGGGTCATCTGCCCGTTCCCTTGATCTTCCCAAATTGCTCCCAAGGCTCATGGGGCTTGACACGTTTCCTGAAGACCTAATGAAGCGTGTCCCGCGTTGGAAAGCTTGTCTGACTCTATTCTGACCGTGCAGCTGGGCCAGTAAAAGATATTGCCCCCCCAAAATCCTTATGTCTGACCAACCTTCATTGCTCGCTGCCATTTCATGCCCACTGACCTGTGCTGTGTCTCCACGGGGAGGCAAAAGCAGCTGGGAATTCAAGAGCTACTCGGTCACTACGGGCTATAAGGGATGGACACACTTCCCAAACTGGAAGCGTGACGTGGCCGAGAGTCCTGGGCCTGCAGGCAATGCCCCACGGCTGCTCTTTGCTTAGGAGCTTCATTTCACCAGCTCGGGAGCTACGTACGGCTCACAGGTCACATCTCAGCCACCCTCGGGACACAACCCGGTCACCTCCCAGGCCAGCAGCGCTCAGGGCGGACATTTGTTTCTATCGAGCACTGGTCTGGAGTGACCACAGGCCCAGCACCCTGCAGAATCAGCCCCTGAAAGTGCTTCACCCAGAAAATACTTAGTGCGGATGGTGTAGAAATCAGTGCTACCTGCATGCAAACACTGCTCCCATCACCCTGTTTGCATGCCCCCTGGATCTGGATCTCCAGGTTATTGTCTCTGGAGGGGGTTTGTGATTTGGAGAGAGAGTATCGGCCCCTTGGCTCCACAGTCAGGTCCTACCTCTGTTGGTGGTGGCCAGCGTGGGCCTGGGCTCCTTGCAGCCGTGGGGGCGTTAGCCCCTGGCCCGGTTCTGTGTCCGGCAGGGACGGGGGTCGCTGGCAAGGCCTTCTGCGGCGGGCAGGGTCTGGACGTGTCCTACGGCAGAAACAGAGAGCTCTGGGTCCTCGCTCAGCGCCGATGCCCCGGGACTCTGACCTCAAAGCCCATCGCCGATGGGTCACTGCTCAGGACAGGCCTATACATGCATGCTCACATATAATATACACACACTGTGACACGTGCACTATACACACAATATACACTCCTTCCCATGATACACGAATGCTCACACACCCACACAATACACAGCCCCCACACACAAGCACGCTATACATGCATGCTCACTCACAGTTTACAAGCACCCCACACATGTGCCCTATACATTCATGCTCACATACAATATATGCACACCACAACACATGCACACTATACACACATGCTTTCACACACACAATATACACCCCTCACACACAATACACAAATGTTCACACACCCACACAATATACACCCCCACACACAAGCACACTATACATGCACACTTACACATAGGATACATGCACTCCACACACGTGCCCTATACATTCATGCCCACATACAATATATGCACACAACCCATGTACACTATACACACATGCTCTCACACATACAATATACACCCCCATGCTATACATGCACACTTACACACAGTATATACGCACCCTACACACACGCCTTATACATTCATGCTCACATACAATATATGCACACTGTGACACATGCACACTATAGACACAGGCTCATGCAGACACCCAATATATACCCCCACATGCTGCAAGAGGGGCCTTATCCCCCGTGCCAGCATCACACACAGGGGCTGTGACTCTTAACACTTCTGCCAGCAGCTAAAAAGACTCCCCCATGCTGGCTCCGACCATCCTGCTGCAGAAATGCACACGGTGAGTCTGAGACAACCTTACCTGCAGGACTGGGAGTTTGGGAGCAGGCGGGGGTGGTCTTTTTGGAGGAGGTTGTCTTGGCACATTCTTCATTCCTACCCCACGTGCTGGACCCGGGGAAGACCTGGTGTCACTGCTGCGCCCAGGCGGGAAAGCAGGGAGCGGCTGGAAATGAATGCTGGGCTCTGGAGCCGGCTCGGGAGGAGAGACCGGAGGGGCAGGGGGGATGGCAGGTGTCCCGATAGCCTGTACACAAGACAGAGACCGGGGTCACTTCTACACGGAGCTCGCTGCCTTCTCTCCTCGCTATCACGACTTCCCAATGCTACCAGGAGGCCTCTCGGCTACCGGGGTGTCAGCGCTGGGGGCTCTACATAGCACCGGAAACAACTCAGCTGGGATTTTCAAGGGGACCCAAGGGCTTTAGGCACTCAACTCCCATTTTCTTCCAGTTAATTACCATTTCCACCCCCCACTTTTTGCAAAGCTCCAGCCTTTATCTGCAAGAAACAGGCAGAGCTGGGTTGTTTAGCCTGGCTGCACATCTCTACCTTTCTTTGCTCCTCCGGGGTTTTCAGCTTGAAGGCGGGATTCGTGTGGCCCTTCCTACTGTCCTGCTCTGGAGCAGAGGCACCGCTGGGGATTAAGGAAGTGAAAGAGAAGAACAGGGGTTATTTCCACAGTGCATCTCCACCTGGCCCTGTTTGCTAGACTCCAGCATGAGTCCTGTGTCCAGTTTTGGGCCCCCCACAACAGAAAGGATGTGGATAAATAGGAGAGAGTCCAGTGGAGGGCAATGAAAATGGTTGGGAGGGGTGGGGGGGCTGGGGGACATGAGTTGTGAGAAGAGGCTGAGGGAAATGGGCTGATTTAGTCTGGAGAAGAGAAAATGAGAGGGGGTTTGATAGCAGCCTTCATCTCCCTGCAGGAGGCTGCAAAGAGGATGGAGCTGGGCTGGTCTCAGTGGGGGCAGGTGACAGAACAAGGAGCAATGGGCTCCAGCTGCAGCAAGGGAAGATGAGGTTGGATATTAGGAATAACTTTCTCACTAGGGGGGTGATGAAGCACTGGGACAGGTTACCCAGAGAGGTGGGGGAGTCTCCATCCTCGGAGGTTTCTAAGATGCAGGTAGACAAAGCCTTGGCTGGGATGGTGTAGTTGGGGCTGGTCCTGCTTGGAGCAGGGGGTTGGACTGGACGTGACCTCCCAAAGGTCCCTCCCAACCCTCATTGTCTATGAGTCTATGCATTGTAATAAGCATAGAAAGAAATGCAGACCAGCTCAGCCAGCAACACTGCAAAGGTCTGTCACTCATTAGCAATGACCTGGATGCCTGAATCAGCTGCGGGAGCAATGAGCAGCTCCAGGCATCCCCTCTGCAAGGGGAGGTGTCTCAGTGCTGACCCCCTGGAGGGACCTGGATGGCCTGACCCTCCCCTGGTGCTTCACAAGGAGACAGCTCACCGGAGAAGGCCATTCCTGGCAATTTCTCTTCCCTGTGTTGCAAACAGAGCTCCGGGGCTTGGGGTGCCGGAAGGCAAAGGATGACCCTGAGCACTCACCTGAACTGCGGCTTCTTTGACTGAGCAATGGCCTGCTTGAGGACCGTGAGTTTTTCCTTCCATTTATAGCAGCAAAATACAATGACGAGAACCACCACCACCACCAGAATGAAAACCAGGACTCCGACAATCACGGAGACGAGGTCTGAGAGCAAGAAAGCAGAGTCAGGCCCTGGGCGTGGACCCTTCCCCACCACCCGCTCTCCCGGGATTGCAAAGGTCAAGTCAGTCACACGCACTTTTGGGGGGCAGAGGCCCGCTGTCGTCGCTGCCCCCTTTCCCGGGGCGGCTGCAATCTGGGGGAGCCCATCCAGAGTCGCAATGGCAGTTCTTGTTGTTGTTGCAAACCTGGATCGGAAACCGGGGGAGGTTTTGCTGCCAAGGACCCAGGGTGAACCAGCCCCGTCCACACAAGGGTCCAAATCAGCAGCAGACGACTGCCGGAGCAAAGGTCAGGGTGACAGCAGGATTGAGATTTAAATCTAGCCAGCCCCATCAGACACCATCCATATGGGAACAGCCGCTTGTCCCTCTCCCCGCCTGACACGAGACACTTACGCCCCGTCCATGGCACTGCTTGCTACAGCCTTCAGCTTCGAAGATCATGGAGGTGTTCATACAGGTGCCCTCGAAGCAGACCTACGGGAGAAGGAGCCAAGCCTCAATGTAAGCTCTTGGGGACAGAGAGCATCTCGTTGTGTCGTGTTTATGCAGCACCTGGTGAAACGGGGCCCTGGTCCCCGGCGGGAGCTCGGACCCATTACAATAGTGCAAATCGTTACACCAAAAACCAATAGTTACACCATTACAATAGTGCAAATCGTACAAATGTCTTTCCCTTTTGCTAGTCCCCACCTTGCCGAATGGAAACCCGGGCATGCAATGGAGGTGCTGAAGCTAAGATGCCATTTGAAGCACAGAATCATAAAGAAGTGGTGCTGGAAGGGACCTCCGGGTCACATCTAGCCCAACCCTATCCAAGTCACCCCGTAGCAATCCATGGTCTAACCTCTTAGCAAAACTACAGCTCAATCCATGGTCTAACCTATTAGCAAAACTACAGTTGCAAGACATCACCCCTGAGCCTGCCACAGGGAAAAAAGGGGGACCACGGCAGCCAACATCCTGCTGCTGTAAAAGGTTGTTAATATATGATCTGAAGAACAAGCTGTGCCAATGCTAGAGGAAGGCAAAACCCCCTAGTTCATACCAATTTGACCAAGGGGAAAAAATCCTTCCTGACCCCGAATATTGTGTCAGTCTCGCCCTGAGCAGAAGGGTGAGACCCTCTAGCCAGGACCCTCCAGGGCCGAGTCCCAGCAGGAACCCTGGCACAGCCCAGTCCCCATCCCCAGCCTGGGCTGCAGCCAGCTCCCAGCGCGGGCAATACCTTCCTCAGAAAGTGAAAAACCCTCCCCCACATCACCACCCCCAACACATAAAGCAGCAGGAAGGGAAAAATTTCCCTCGCAGTCCCATGCAGCAGCCAACAAAGCCCAGAAGCCTGGAAATCCCCATTGCAGAGCGTGGGCACAGATACTCCTAGGTCCCCCCTGACCCATGCATGCAGCAAGTCTGCAGGGGCTGGTGTTCCTTCTTGCTTTGTGCACCTTTTCTAGGCCTGCCATCTCCGCTCACGGGACCCATCCTTCCCACTGGTGCAATCCAGCGTGAATAACCCCAGGTGTCAGGTCTGTACCTAGAGCCACCCCCAGAGACTGAGAGACGCAGCTACCTACGTGATGGCTCCCACACTTGGTCCCAGTCATCACCAGCCCAGGGTCCAGTATGTCCCCCTCATCCTCTGTAGGCTTGTAGATGTGGGTCCCCCGACAACTGATCCGTCTCCCATTCACGGGGATAGTCGTGTCTATCGCGACGGCGTTGGATGCCACTGGCTTGGAAGCAGAGCTCTGGCACTGAATCTTTCCGCATCTGGCATCTCTGAAAGCGATAGGTGAGGTGAGTGGCTTTGCCCTGCCCTCGGTGACAGCCTCCTCTTTGCACACACACAGCCAACACAATTCATGCAAAAGGCACAGAGGAGAGTGGGGCAGAGACCAACTCTGAACTCGTCAAGAGAGGAGCTCGTAGGCATCGGTCCAGACACAAGAGAGGCAAAGACCCAGTAAGGAGCGTTCCTAGAGAGATTTGCTTGGGTAATGGTACCCAAAGGTGTGTATAGAGAGGATGAAGATGGAGGGGACAGGGCCAGCAGCAAAGGACTCACACTGGCAACACTCATCCTGGGCTGCATTGGTAGGAGCGTCGCCAGCAGATCGAGGGCAGTGATCCTTCCCCTCTATTCAGCACTGGGGAGGCCACATCCAGTTTTGGGCCCCCCACTACAGAAAGGATGTGGACACATTGGAGACAGTCCAGTGGAGGGCAATGAAAATGGTTGTGGGCTGGGGGACAGGACTGGTGAGGAGAGACTGGGGGAACTGGGCTTATATAGTCTGGAGAAGAGAAGACCGAGGGGGATTGAATAGCAGCCTTCACCTCCCTGCCGGGGGGTGCAAAGAGGATGGAGCTGGGCTGGTCTCAGTGGGGGCAGATACAGGACCAGGAGCAATGGGCTCAAGCTGCAGCAAGGGAAGTTGAGGTTAGATATTAGGAAAAAAATCCTCACTGGGAGGGTAGTAAAGCACTGGAGCAGGTTACCCAGAGAGGTGGTGGCATCTCCATCCTTGGAGGTTTTGAAGACCTGGCTTGACAAAGCTTTGGCTGGGATGATGTAGTTGGGGCTGATGTTGTAGTGGGGGCGGGTCCTGCCGTGAGCAGGGGTTGGACTCGATGTGACCTCCTGAGTGTCCTGCCAACCCTCATTGTCTATGATTCAATGATTTTATGACTCGAGATTCAAATGGCGAAACTGAGGCTGGAGACGAGGAGATCCCTGACACGGAGGGTGGTCAGGCGCTGGGACACGCACCTAGAGACACCGTGGTATCTCCATCCTTGGAGATTTTCAAGAGCAGGTTGGAGAGACACTTGCTTTAGTCAGGGCTCATCCTGCCTTGAGCAGGCGGCTGGACTTGGTGACCTTGTGAGGTCCCTTCCAGCCCTACTTTCCTATGATCCTACCACCATTTCACTTGGGGAATCCAGTCTCACCAGCATCATAGACAAGACCCAGCTTGAAGGGTCCTTACCCCTATCATGTGCTAAGGGCAGCCAGTTTGAATGGCTGGCTGTGGACAGGACTATGAACCTGCCTGGTGGCCTCTGCAAGTATATGGAAGAAAGAAAACTTCGCAGGACTTCTCCTGCCGTTTTCTTCCCTGCCATCCCTTGGAATTTAAAAACATTTTAAAAGAGTAAATACTTCACCCAGGTGTCTGAAATGCAAAGGATAGCTGCTGCTCTGCCTCCTACCTGGCCTCGCACTTCCGGTATTGGCCATTGATGTCCTTCCCGCAGTTCCCAAAGGGGTCACCAGCAGCATTGACCCTCTCAAAGCAGAGATCGGGAGCAGGTCTGGCTCCTGTAGGGAAGAGACTGATGTGACCAGTGCTTATGGAAAGCAATGGACTTCTCCAATCCAGCCCTGGCTCCTGGTTCCTGCTTTCCCCTGACACATCGGGGAAGAAGCCATCACTGCTTTCCCCAAGTCCATGGAGCAAGGAAAAGCTTCCAGGTGAGAACGGACTTGACCATTACAGAGGACACAGCTGAGGGACCCCCATGGTAAGCGCCTAGCTGGAACGCCGGAGCGCCCCAATTAGCTGCCATTGATATCACTGGTGTGAACAAAATAGCACTGGGGTTTGCATTTATGCTTCCCCCAGCCTCACTTAGCTTCTCCTTCACTGTGTGATGAAAAGACGGAAAGCTATGAGCCCTCTGCTTCTCTAAAAGCAGGTAGGGTGTGTGCTGAGATAGTCCCAGCTTCTGTCCACAGCCCCCACCCTACAGCTCAACCCTCCCAAGCAGGGATGAGAGACAGGCAGAGGACAGGAGAGCTAGCGTGGAGTCCTGCCTTGCTACTGATGGGCTATATGACCTTGGGCACATCCCACGCCCTCTGACTTAGCCAGGAATCCCCTAGGGAATGGGCCTGTGCCCAGCAGGATGGGTCCCTGGTCCCCTCCGTGCTACCATAGTACAAAGAGGCAGTCGCAAGGGCAGTGCGGATCTCATCAGGAGCTCACTGCGGGGAGCAACCCTTACCGCGGCCCCAGAGCTGCAAGCACTGCTGCTGGTAGGTGAGACACATGCCGCTGTAGCAGTAGCCCGTCCCTCCGGAGCAGTCAGTGCCATCCATCTTGTAGGCATTGAGGGGGCAAAAGGACGACTTGCCGGTGCAATGCTCGGGGAGGTCACATTGCCCTGAGGTCTCACGGCAGAGAGTCCCCGAAAACATCAGCTAACAACACGAAGGGGAACAAATAGATAAGAGTCACCGGCGGGACCCCCAGCAAGAGGGGATGGGTTGGTCATTGGTTGAGAATCTTCAAGCTAACTGGTTAGATTACTGGTTAGTGACAGCTTACTTTCATCCATGCACTTGCCCTCTTGAGAAGCAACACGGCTGTGCCCCCAGCAGGAAGGATGGAGATGGGCACAGCACAGAAAATCCCCTTACCCAATGCCATGGATGCCTGTTCTCTGCTAGAAGGGCTGGGCATCCTGGGCGGCTGCTTCCCACGCTGTTACTCTTGCAGAGCAACACAAGCCCACCAGCCACACCAGACCACTGCACATGCACCCATCCCAAAGGGTGAGTCTCCGGGATGGGAACAGACAGTCCCCTGCTCTGGAGAAGAGAGGGAATGGGTTGCCCAGAGAGGTGGTGCAATCTCCCATCCTTGGAGGTTTTGAAGACCCGGCTACACAAAGTGTTGGCTGGGATGATGTAGTTGTGTAGAAGAAAGCCCCCTTTTCCTCTTGCCTGCATTTGCTCTCCCCTCTTTGAATATGTTTTCCCTCTTCTACCTTTTCTTCCTTCCTCTTTCTTTCACTTTAAGATAAGGAATTGTGTTTTAAAATTTGTATGTGTGCATTTTGTATCTCCCCTTGTATTTTGGTATTTTTATCTATTTGTGTGCCATGGCATTACATTTGTAGCTTATATTTTATACTCCTCACCTTTCAACTATAAATGTGTTTAGTAACAGTGTTAACAAGGGCAGGAGTCAAACTGCTGCTTGCCTGTATCAGGCAGGCCCCTGAAAGAGCGAGTGAATCAGTGACTGAATGTGTAACACGGTAGCAGGCAGCAATTAACACCTAAGGAAACTGCAGATCAACCAAGGGAAGAAATCAATAGAAGACAATGTAGCAACTGGGATATCGCTAAACCTCACTGATCAAGGGCTAGAAGCCCTGGTCTGAGTTAATCAATGCCGGGGACCAACTTTTGGGCTGAATATCTCTAGATCAACTGCTCCCAGAGCCCTATTCAAAATTCATCAACGGACTCCCAAACCTGCACATACATGCGGACGACCCCTGGGGCTGACAGATGCCATCCAGTAAAGCAGAGATCGGGAGCAGGTCTGGCTCCTGTAGGGAAGAGACTGATGTGACCAGTGCTTATGGAAAGCAATGGACTTCTCCAATCCAGCCCTGGCTCCTGGCTCCTGCTTTCCCCTGACACATTGGGGAAGAAGCCATCACTGCTTTCCCCAAGTCCA